TGAAGAGCTGAAAGCAAATATAAAAATATGCATATTAAATTAAAAAATTACTCCACATAAATTAGCTACTTCGTGCTATTTATATCTAAAATGTCAAAAGCGATTAACTGTTTTCTTCACTGCTTTTATCTATTTGATAAATTATAGCACATATGTTTCTGTTTGATTAGTCGGCTTTTTTCTGCAACAGCATGGATGTTATCACAACCACAGCAATGCAGAGGTAGGTAACTGCATAGATTTCAAAATATCACCATGATTTACTAAATAATTATGGAATTTAAAACGTGTTAGAATAACGTTTTCTAGAAGATAATTGATAGTCTAGCACTTACCATCATTATAATGATTGTTGAAATTTGACAACGTTCTGAATCATAACGATCTTCGTGGTATGATGATTTTTTTTTCCAGTAACGTACGCGACCCATTCGATTATTGACAATAGTTTGGTACTTGTTTATTAGCGATACCAGCGTATTCACATATTTGACAATCTGGTTTCACCGAAATGGATATTGTAAGTAGTTTTAACCCTAACCTATATTCATTGTACAGCCATAAATGCAGCCCTAATTACAAATATGACAACGTAAAAATGAGCTTAATAATATACACTAAGTTTACCTATAGTCCCCAGGGAGTGTGTGCATTAAAAAAATAACGTTATGACATGTAAGGCGGCAACCCATACCAGAGGCGTAGCTGGGAGACAATAAGGGGTAGAAAAAATTTAAAAGCTTATTTTAAGCTGCAGTTTTGAATTATAAATAGCCTTTACAAAATACATACTTGATTGTGTAAATTTAAAATATATACCCTCAAGAAACAATGACCGGCAAAAATCGCTTTCCAGCTTTTCCAAGATGGGGAAGGGCGCTTTTTCGCCGACTAAAATCGCAAGGATTTGTACTGGATTAACACTTATAAAAGAAACCAATTGTACTAAAGCGAGTCGTACGATTGTGTAAAATTAGAAAAGAGTTTGTGACGTTAAAATCCGCTCTACCAGCTTTGTCCAAGATGGTGCTGGGGTGGGGGCTTTTTCACCGACATAAATCGCAAAATTTACACTTGATTGGTAAGTAGATGACTCTTTAAACACTTAGAAGAGAAACGAATTGTGTGAAAGTATATTGTGTAGAATAAGAAAAAGGTGGTGGGTGGGGGCGCTTTTTCGCCAAGGTAAATGGGAAGGATTTATACATTAATGGTGAGTAGATAAATCGTTTAACACTTAGAATAGAAACCAATTGAATTTTTACGCGTATTGTATTACGATTTCACTAGCCAGTTTTGTTAAGAAATGATGTGACTAGTTCTGACAACACTGACAAAATCCGATCGCCAATCACATGAATCTGGTGTTTGTCTTTTCCTCCGCCGAAGCCCTGAGATTGACTTACTGAGACTCTTGGGTTCGATCGAACCCAGGTTAAGAACTGTTGCTCTTTTTATTTTCTTGTTTTATTCGTTTCGGCTTCCTAAAAACATAGTCGTAGCCAACACTTCGTAAGCTCACTTGATTTTTATGAAGATCAAACCCTAATAATCCAGCCTCTCCTATCTATTTTTCAGACGATTTCCTTCATGACTTACTTGGTCTCCTGCTTAGCGATGTTATTTACTGTCTATCTGATATTGTGCCCTAACCACCACCTCTTCGTTGTTCTTATTTCATTATCCACTGTCGTTAGCCACCTAGCTCTTAGCCATACAGTAAAAGAGACTTTATATTTAACAATAGCTCTTGGTTGAATTTTTGACAATGCATTTGAATTCAACATTGGCTTGGAATGTTAAAACGCATTTTCTCGCTGCTGATTCTAATCTGAACGTCATGGGCAATGGCACTCTCATTAAACCGTTATTACTGCTTCTTCTACCAGTACAATTATTTCTGCATTTGATGTTGACTATTTCGAGAAGGCTGCGCACATCTGCGAAATAAACTACTTCGAGCTGTTGTGTCCGTTGGATTCCAGTTTGTTTCCTCTAGCTTGTTTCAATAATATTAATAATCAACCAGTCAAAAAATATCAATGTCGTATTCCAATGCGTACAATAAATGTTTCTGATGAATTGCTATTGTGTATCACTTTTATGAGCTTATTCTAACAAATATATAATCCAACTATGTAACATATCAGAGACTGCTCCAAAGATAGAACATAAATAGACTGGCCTAAACGAATTAGTACCTGCTACAAACTTCCCTCTATACTCAGATGAGGCTTTTTTTTTCTAACATTGCTAATGTTTTTGAAAAGGATAACGCATCTTAATGGGAATTTAAATGTCGTCGAGTATATATATATATATATATATATATATATATATATATATATATATATATATATATATATATATATATATATATATATATATCGGAGGGAGTGGGGGGGGGGGCTAAATTAAATGTTCTCCCCGAGTGCCAGAAGGGTTACTACGCCTCTGTCCAATGCTAGGTCATAAAACGTACTTGTGAGTTATATCCTTCAGCCAAGTCCGCATCTCTTTATGGCGTGTCACGTATTGACTAATTGCCAGCTTTGTTTTGGTAGTTGTGATGGAAAAGATATGACGTTTATTTAAGGATTGGTGTGTTCGGGTCGATAAATCGAATAGCTCAGCTGATCGTTTATGTAATAAAAATTGAAATTAATTACAGGTGTCAAACTAGTGTATCGCTAGACCACGCAATGCAGCGGGAGGGGGGGGGGGGGAAGGGGGAGAACAGTCACAAAAAATAACTTTCTGCACTTGATAGACTAGTGGTTTAATAACAACAAAAAACAAATCGACTGATTGTTCTACAGTAACTAACACACACTGTTGCATAGAAAAAAAAACAACAATTAAATAAGTTGTAGATTGAAAAATAGGTTCACCTTTAAACCACTTCCATTGCTTATTGCTCTTCTTTAAATTGTTGAATAAGGTTGCAGGTGACCTTAAATTAAATAGTTTTGTACTAAGCAAATTAAAACGAAATTTCTACTCTTAATTTTTTATTAAATAAAGCATCCTAAAGAATGTCTAAGGTATAAACAGTCAAAATTAATTATACGAATGAAAAAACAAAACAACATAAGAATAAAACGAACACGGGAAACTATTACACACACACACACACACACATATATATATATATATATATATATATATATATATATATATATATATATATATATATATATATATATATATATATATATATATATATATATATATAGTTATATATATATATATACACCGACTTGCCATATAAAATGTACACTATTCATAAATTTCGGTGAGTGAAAGTGAGATACTTTAAAACTCGATTATTTCAAACCAGAAATGAGTTTCAACCTACCTCTGTGAGTTCTCCATTTTTGGTCTTGCCCTTAGAACAGGGGTCGGCAACCTGCGGCTCGCGAGCCGCATGCGGCTCTTTTGATATCAAGATGCGGCTCTCCAGCTCCTTGCACAAATACTAATAATCTTAATAAAAAAATAAAATATTTGAAATAAATAAATGTTAGTGGCTCTTTAAAACCAGGGAAGTTTTGAAAATTGTAACATTTGGCTCTTCCGCTTCGAAAGGTTGCCGACCCCTGCCTTAGAACAATTTCGATACTAGTATATCACAGTTTTAAATCATCAGTTAGGTTGAAAAAAGTAACAAAGCTTTAGCAATCGTTGTGTTGTACCAGTTGTACCAACAAGCAATACAAAAAAAATGATATATTCGGTACAATATACTAATTTTCTAGTAAACAGGTTTATTGTGTAACTTTAAATATAGAAAGCCGTGTTATATTTTTCTTAACTCTTAAAATTTCGGCCTAAGTTTATAGCCTTCCCCCACCCGCTCTGGCCGTATGCTATTTTCCTGATCACATATTGACACAAGAGTCCGTGATATTCATTATCTGTTTAATACAAAGGATCCAGGCATGTATGTCTGATCACTCACGTTGATGTTGAGAGAATCCTAAGAATCGTACAAAGAACTAATCGCGTCGTCATTTCTGAACAAAACTGGTTTGTGAAATCGTACATTACGCTATAATACAATCTACGTATTATCTACCATACGTTCCGGTTTAAATTCTTCGTATTTACCTTGGTGAAAAAGCCTCTTCTCCTCCTCCTCCCCCCCCCCCCCCCACCCCAGCACCAACTTGGACAAAGTTGGTGGAGCGGTTTTAGCGTCACTAAAAAAATATTGTTTATGATATTAACTTTATTACTTTCTCATATAGGGACCATATGAGGAAGTATTGTATACGTGTGAAAAAATTCGAAATCGATACTTTAACACATCCCGACGTATCGCACCTTTCGAGTTGGGAAAAAAATAGTTTCACATTTTTATCTGTATGTGCATGTTGTGTGTTTCAGTTAGGTGGACAAAACTTTATATATAAGTACTCCTGTTTCTCAAAACCGATAACTTAAAAACCGTTTCAATTTGCTCTACGAAATTGCACACGAGTTTTACAAACAAAAGAGTTTGTATATTATGGCTTGTTTTCAACGTTAATATATGTGTGTATGTGTGTGTATGTGTGTGTCTCTGGGTGTGTACAGCCTGTATGGATATATATATATATATATATATATATATATATATATATATATATATATATATATATTTATATATATATATATATGTATATATATATATATGTGTGTGTGTGTGTGTCTGTGTGTCTGTGTCTGTGTGTCTGTGTGTCTGTGTGTGTCTGTGTGTTTCTGTGCGTGTGTGTACAGCCTGCATGTATGTGTATATATTGTGTTTGTGCTTGTTTGAGTGTATGGGTAGGGTTATAGGTACTAACACAAGTGCAATATGATATCATGTTCAGAAAATTGTAGTTATTTTGACGAAATATGATAATGACAACAACACATTTGAGCCAGTAAAATGAACCATCCGATACCGATATATTTAAAAACGAGGATATTATGAGTTTACAAAAAAAAAGAAAGAAAACATAGTTAGGCCTAACTTAATGTCGAGATAGTTTAAAAATAGAGACACAATGTCTCCTGAATTTGGAGTTGTACTTTAGGTAGACGAAGAGGTTGACGATCATGTTGATGACGTGCATCAGGTCCTGAAGTTCCAGACACAGCCAGTACGTGTTAACGTACCTGCCACTGCTGCTGAAGTCTGAGACGACCAGACTTGCCAGGTACACCGCAACATCCGGCGTGTTGCAGACGACGAACAAAATGGCGACCATGTTTACAGATTGGGTAGCTCGCATTTCTCGTTTGGACATTATTTCTTTCGATTTTTCTTCCTTGCCGTTTCCCAAAGAAGAATGGGGATTCCTCCGCTTCACGCCAGTAATCGGTTTATGTGTGTTTGTGTTTACTTCTTCAATCGGTGTCTTGACTTGTTCAATCGATGCGAGACGAACTTCTTTTTTGTTTGTTGCTGACATACGAAACTTAGCTGATTGTTCAAGTTTGATTGTTAGTAAAATTGTACAAAATAGTACAATTAGTTCCGAGATTATTGGGATGAAAATATAAGCGAAGCCTTTTATTATGGGGAACACAGTTGTTGAGTAAAAGTCTGATTTTTTAAATATCAACCGCGTTGAATTAGTTGAGTAATCAAACCCTGGTTGAAAGGGGAATACACTGATTGTATAGAGGACATACAAGGCAAATATCCCTGAATAGATACAGGCTATGATGGCTATACAGCGATTACGAGAAAACTGGTCTTTAAAAGTGAGTGGCAGCGCGACACAGCAGCATTTTTGAACTGCTAGGAAGACGGTGATGAGGGTGGAGATTATATAGAACGTGATGGCGTAGAAGGGCAGGATGTAACCAACCCAGTATAAGCTGACGTACGGCCTCACTCGCAGGGTGAGATCAGCGTACACAAACTCCGTGGCGGTCAGGTAGAGCGCCATGCACATCAAATTCGAGACGGTCAGGGCGAAAAAACCAACAGAGATGCCGTCATTGAGGCCTGACCTCCAGAACACTGCTAGGGTCAGCAGATTGGTGACCACGCCCAGCACGCGGAGGGCGACCTTGACCGACTGTTGCAGAATGACGGTACAAATCAGATTCGCAGTTTTACTGTCGATGAAATCAAGTTTTAATTCCTGATTGCCGATGGCGGTCTTTCCAAGAGTGATATCAATATTTGAGTAATTCATCTTGAATATGGTGTCCACTTTTCTCTACAAGCAGACAATTTTTTCTTTCACAAGCCGTTAATGAAGAACATATTTTTATATCCCCAAAAATGTTTATTTTTTTATTTTATTTCTAATATGTTTAAAGTTCATATTTTGTTCTCGAAACTTCTATTTTCTAATTAGTTTAAAAAAAACATCAATCAAACTGTTTATTCAAACACCACGTCGTAATTATCGATGTTAGTGTAAACAACTCAGTCTAATATAGTGCATAACTGGTTACATTTTTTTAAAAATAAACCGCGTAAAAAATCAAATTTCTTCTCCCAGTTAAGTTTGATCAAACAACGAAAAATAAAATCGATTGTTTCAGTTACAGGTAATTAGCTTTGGATCAATTGCAATGTTTTCTTTACAATTAGCTACTCACCTTCGCATGCATTTCTGGATAGGTTTTAAAATTCATATTTCAATATGTACACAAGCGCTTAAAAACAGCCACTTAATGAAGAAATTGTACAATTATTAGTGAACAACTGTCTTAATGTAAATAAATAATGACGTGAAAATGTATCGCCCCGTTCTTGTCTGTAAAGTTACGATGGTCGTGTAAACAGTGAATTAATCGCAAACATCTATGATGCACTTTTATTTGTGTATATTCTGAAAAATCTCATTAAATTATCGGTGGTTGTTTTAGTTTTATTTACAATATAATACACAATTTTCTCGTTTTCGTAATTCATTTGCTGCACAAGGAGGGAGCTTACAATTGTTAATTGTCGATCTATAAATTGTGAACTTTTTACTCTCTTATTTAAAAACATTACCGGCGGATTGATTTTGTTTGGACCTGTACTGTAAAAATATCGTAGCCTTGGGAATGGTTCTAAATTACTTACCCTGATCGTGAAATCAACTGAGCGTGTTTTTTGGGACAACTCTTTTAGTTCTGGTGGTTCAATTAGAAAGTGATAGAGAAATAACGGTGGTTGGGCATAATCACTCATACTGCTGACCACACTATCCCCTTGTATGTTAATATCATTGAAACAAGTTAACTTTTGCACGAACGGGAAAAGAAGATGAAAGCAGAAAATTAAGGATTTAATTTTTATGGTGATGATTTTGTGTTATTTTGTTTTTTTTTCTATTTAACTCTTTGTAGTCTGTGTATTGACGATATAAAGTCCATTGTGTTTAAAATATATCAGTAGCAGATGGTTTATTTTATTGGCTCAAATTTGTTTTTGTCATTTTCATATTTCGTCAAAATAACTACAACTTTCTGGACATAATATCATATTGCATCTGTCTTAGTAGGCTACTTATAACTCTACCCATACACTCAAACAAGCATGCACTAACATACACACACAGACATACACATGTTACGTCCCTTACATGTCCCCTGCTTGTGTGTGTGTGTTGTGTGCTGGAACGACAGGTACCCTCCCTTTGGTGTATAGTTGTATCCCTTGGTTGAGTGTGTTTACATGGAGCTAGAGGTGTTCACGTGAGGTGTGTAAGGTGACGGGTGTCAGAGCGTGTGCTAGTGTGTGAATCAGTTAGTTGTAGTGTGGCTGTGGACGTGGAACGTGGAACGTGGTGTTGAGTATTGTATTTATGTTGTAGCCCCCTTTTGATCCTTTTATTATTTTAGTACTGTATATATTATTAAATATCTTATTATTATTGTTATTATAGAGTGTTAGTGTTATTGTTGTATACGTCGTATTTGTCTGTTGTTATATATAAGCCCCTAGACTGAAGAACCCTACAACACACACACACACATATATATATATATATATATATATATATATATATATATATATATATATATATATATATATATATATATATATATATATATATATATATATATACATATATATATACATATATATATATATATATGTGTGTGTATGTGAGTGAGTGTGCGTGCGTGCGTGCGTGTGTGCGTGCGTGCGTGCGTGCGTAATTAAACATAAATAATTTAAATTTTCAAGTTCCATTCTCGAAATGTCATGTTTTTAAAACTGTTAACTAAAGGCTCAACCGTTTAAACGGAGTACAAAAACATTTATCTGTCTCCTTTCCTTTTCTATTCAGTTTTTGTCTGGATTATATAAGCGATCAATTGAGCAATTGGATTTATCGACCCGACCATGTCGATCCCTAAATAATATATGAACGTCATATCTTTTCTATCACAACTGATTTACTGGCCGAACAAAGCCAGCAAGAAGTCAATACGAGACATGCCATAGAGAGATGAGGACTTGGCTGTAGGATATAACATACATGTAGGGTTATCAACAACTGTGGATTTTGACCTAGCATTTTGTAGCATTACACACCACAACATTAATGTTTGTAAGCTCACACTGTATGGGCACTACACTTAACAACAGTGTATGTTATCCAGCCACGGCTATAGCTGTACAAGGAATAATGGTTAGGGTCACAACTAGTTAAGACATCTATATCGGTGAAATCGGATTGTCAAATATTCGAATACGTTGGTATCGCTAATCAACAATTAGCAATCTATTGTCAATATCGCGTACCTTACTGAAGAAAACATATCACATGTCGTACTTCAACAATCATTATAAAATGGTAAGTGTTTTAGACTGTCAATTATTTTATTGAAAACATTATCCTAACACGCTTTAAACTCCAGTATTATTTAGTAAATCATGATGATATTTTGAAATCTGGACAAACAATAATAGGGGTGAGTATTAGGGAAAATGTGTCGAGGTGTATTAAAGTGAATTGCCTTCTGTACTAAAATGAGCATTTCTTGAAAACCAGACAGTGGATAAAATGAGGTAAACAAAATATTTTCATATTTTCATATATGTACATTTTTGGAATTTTTTTTCTCAAAATATTTAAATTTTAACTTTCAAAACACTTGAAGTAGTTTTTGATAGCAATTGATGGATCGGCAAACAGTGGTGTAGCCAAAGATTAGCTCACAATTTTTTTTTTAAACAACAGCAAAAAACGAACGTCTTAGTGGTACAGTGATCCCCAGACACACAAGAGAGAAAAACATCGCAACAATATAAACACATTCCATATAATTGTTAACTGTCGGTCTTATATGAACTTTCAGAAAAAGCGACTACTTAAAACCTGAGCTCCCCCCTCCTACTTCTTTGACACCACCCCCCCCCCCCCTCACATTGATCATCTTTTCCTGTGGCTAAGATTGTACAATACTGATTACATTTAATTTATGCTCAGTACTTATTGATATGATGTTATCCGTATGATTGGTACTGATGACTGCAGTGAGAGGTTCAAGAAAACACAAACGCAATTGCAGCTTCTTAATTTTAATGGTTGATACTTTAGTCTTGGATAAAATAGGAAATAAACTTAAACATCGATAGCGACCAGCCCTACCACACTTTACAAAACAAAACACGTCTACATGCTTCTAAGGCTAACGTTCAACTGTCCTCTCTCTCTCTCTTTGGCCCTCACCACCCAGCTTGGGGTCAATGCCCTGGCTTAACCTCGAATTCAATAGGATATCTTATTACGTGTTTCCCCTAATTTGCATCCCAGGTTAGTTGGTTCCAACTAAGGTCAAAGACCAGGCGACCGGTACTTCCCCTAGCCGGCACATCTCTATGTGGGGCGGAGATGTCTTCACATCGGGTTACGGCTGTCTCAGTTCAGGTGTGGGGCGGGAGGGAAGTGGGGATAACACACTAGCATCAACAATGGACTCAGTTATAACATTTATATCTATTTTTGTCTATCAAATCTGCCACCTCGGCATTGCTGTAGTCCTGGTGAATTAAGAAAAAGCCGACTAAATCAAAATAAATATATGTGCCAAAATGTAACATTAGATTAAAGTAGTAAAGAAAACATTTGACTGATTTTAAAAGTAGCTAAATTATGAGGAGTAATATTTCAATTTGATGTGAACATTGTTAAAATTTTATTTTCAGCTCTTCAAAAAGTTCGAGGCACTTTACGTCGTCCTTGTATGTGCAGTACTCGGTCTGTTTATAATTTACGTGTGCTACTTTGGAGGTGGCCAGTGCTTCACCAATTTTAGCCAGCTCAAGGATCAGACTGTACCAAAACCAACAGGAGTTGGACGTTATAGCCAACTCCAGTATCACAATGTAGCAGAACCCATCGGAGAAGCACGTTACGGATTCTTAAAAAACAGCACCTATGTTGCAGCTGTAACTGGAACAATTCATCTAAATAATACGACACACCTTCTTTGTGTGACAGCAACAAACGGATATATTTTTAAACCTATTCCAACAATCGATTTTAATTTCACAATTAACATTTCAAAAAAAGACAGAAAGCCAGCAATCATCAAAAAAAAAGTTCGTAAAATTTTGACCTCAACAGTCACCCCATCACTAGAAAAGTGTGAGGGGAATAAGACAGTAAAATATCTTGTGTTTCTATGTACAGGATATGGTCGGTGTGGGGGCTGGGGAGACAGACAAGAAGGGCTGGTCTTTGCTTTTGTACTCTCTCGTCTGCTACACCGCTGTTTTAAAATTGTCATGCCCCAACCGTGCAGTCTGTCAAAGTTTTACCAGCCAAACAAAGTTCAGTGGGAGCCGGACAATGAAACTTTAGACCCGCCCACACAAAACAACACGCTGGACAGTTCTCACTACAGATTCAAAGACCTAAACGTTATTTACCCACAGACTGTTGTATACTTCAGGGGGAACGCGGATTTGTATGAACTTTTTGAAGCCAACCCACACTACATCAAACAGATCGACACATGGACCGGAATTCGTGACATACAGGGTCGATTCTTTTGGAGCTGGAATCAGTTAATGAAACCGTCTGCATCGTTTCTGTCTAAAGTTGAAAATATCATTGGTATGGACTTTCTAATACGAAAAGGTGTGGACGTTGATGTTTCAAAAGATGAGCGGCCTAAAGCGCCGATGTGCGATGTTAGGAAGTCACCTTTGATCTGTGCGCATGTCAGAATCGGGAAAAACCCAAGCGTTCCTAAAGACGATGTGTTCACATCAATAAAGTTAGTGGATATTCCCGTTTTATTTGAATTTATGTCATCTAAAGACACTTCCGGGGATGCCTTGTTTTTCGTAGCAACGGATTACATCAATGTACGAATACAGGCGTACAACTATTTCAAAGGAAGGATGATTGATTTTGGTGCGAAAATTGACCACACTGACAGACCCACACTTGGTAGTGACCAGTGTGGAGCTTTAGAGGACGCTTTAGTCGACCAATATCTGCTGAGTCTGTGTGACGTCTTGGTTCTCTGCAGAAGTGGTTTTAGTCGGATGGCGTTCTTTATGAGAAACAGCACAGATCCTGTGTACATTTTCGAACACGGAGTGGTCAGGCTTTATGAAGAATAATCTACATTTACTACTAGATTTAATTAAAATAATGTATCAAACTTTTAATCTACTTGTTATTATTGAAACGGATTAAGGACCCAAATATCCAAGGTAGCCGAGTTTGAATCCGGTCATTTGGACATCTATGAGTCCAACCAACTGTTATGGGTACCTAACTCGCGCTAGTCAATGCGTATAGTGTTTACCACACTATATCTTCATATGCCGAGGTCACAGAAGCAGGTGGACTTGACCTCACTAGCCCCATATATCTTAACGTTCGAAAATGGAACTCAAAGTAGCGAAAATTCGATTCCCTAATTTATTGGATAAACGTCCAACATTAATTCTAACAGTGCTGTTTTTTTTTGTTTAAACGCTGACTTGAGGTCGGAAATTCTCATTCGTTGACATATAGAGTTACTAGATAATTTTGACCAACTGTACTATGACTTTTATGTCCAAATTGTTCCAAAAATGACCTACTTTGGTTAGGAAGTTCTGTCTGAATGACGTGGATAGTTTTTTCTCGTTCGATTTACCAAGCACTGTGGATATAAAATAGATCAATGTACTGCCTGTAAATGTTCCCAAGGCTTCGACCACTGGAGAAATCTGGCAAGATGAGGCTGGCCATAAACATTACAAATTATATCTCGTTTACAGAGTCTCATACCATCCTGCCAGTGGATCTCAAACCATCATTCAACATGCCATTCCTCTATTACAGTCCATGTCACATCAACTTTCAATATGCTATTTCACTATTATAGTGGATTTCACACCATCAGTTGGAATGCAGATAAGAACGACTCACATAACAAGATGTCAGGTCCAGCATTGAAAGCCCCAGCAACAGGTGGCACCGTACCTGCTGATCTGGTGGAAAAATCAAAAATGCTGCCACAGCCACTATAGGACTCATAAATGGCATGTTATTATTTTTAGTTTAAACAGGTTGGTCTTAATGTCATGTTGTGTATATAGTTGTAAACAGGTTGGTTGGTCGTAATGTCATGCTGTGTTTTTTATTCTAAACAGATTGTTCATATGTCATGTTCTAGAGTTATATTTTTTTAAACCCACTAATGATTTAGTTTTTGTAAAATTATATTATTAAAATGATATTTCTAAAAAAAATAATCCTTTATGAATTGGCCTTTTTGTAACACACGTCTTTGAATTTGTTTATTTTAAAATAATAAAATAAGAAATAATTTGATATTTTTTCAGCACTGATTATGTCTATTGTGTACTCTGTTGCTGATCTCAGTTAGAATCTATTTAGAGGTAGCTGATTCTAAAGTTTAAAAAAAAAAGAAAAATAGTTTTTTGTTCAGTAGTATGGTAATGATTCTAGGTAACATAACTGTATTGATTTTTAATAAAATTATGATAATAAGCCTTTAGGTACCATTCTTAATAATTAATATAAAATAGTACTGGATTTTAGAGCAGACTGAGAATAGGAGCCTAATATAGTTAAACACATAAAAGTATCCAGTAAGTCTTATATTCCATTTCCAGTTAAATTGTGATACAAAAATTATGATTAAAAATCATAATGAGGTGTTCCAATATATGGATGATGAAAGCAATGTCTTTGCTACAGAACAAAATCTGAGATAATACATCGTTAGTAACGTATTAGTTTTAAAAGCATTTATGTAAGTTGAGTTTATTCCTGGTTTTCAGTATAATTTTAGTATGGTGGAGGGGGGAGGGGGAGAGAGAAGTCCTTCTGCTTTTGCACTGATCTAAGCTTCAATTCTATCCAAAGAAAAGGGCGGAAGAGAACCAAAAATACAGTGACCTGAAAATGCAGTGTGAATTATATGGGTAGTGGCACTGCCTGCATTCAAGATGCGTAGCAACATTATGAGTAATAAAACAGTGTGTATGTATATTTTCAATATTCAACTGCAACATTGATTGCTTTTGTATAAAGAACTGCGTAGGCCTGTATTTTGTAAAATTAATATTTTTTTTTTGTTGAAGCTAATTACTGAGTTTAAGATTTATTTAATTAAAATGTTGAATCCAGTGGCATCACAAGGCAGGGTGCATGATGTGAGCGCACCGGATGACAGCATTTAGAGGGCGACGCCAACATGGAAAACAGTAAAAGTTACCGTCAAAACAATGCTTTATCCAGTTAAACATAAAATATAATTGTAGAGGAAGAGGGGTGACACCAAATCAAAAATGTAAAATTGTTAAAGGACGGAGGGGGGCAGCTTCAGTTACCACACCGTGTGTCACCCGATCTAGTGTCGCCACTGACTAAATCAAATTATGTTAATAAATGCAGACCAAAGTTACAGAACAAACCTTTAATTTTTATTCACAGTTCCTCTTTTAAATAACTGTAATAAATTACATGTCATTTAATGTATTGTAAATTATAATTTTTCCGATTGGGGTTATAAAAAGTGATAATTAATTAACAACAATTTGATACAGATATAGATATAGATAGACACAGACATAGACATGTAAGCCCTGCTAGGGGGGGGTGCTAACTAAAATCTACCCTTCTAGGCTATTCTAACTACTGTCCGGTCAGTGCAAGTCCGGCTAAACCCAGACTGGTTGATAACCTAACCTTAGTCTAGAATAAACACAAAAAAACTTTAACAGTTTATACAGAATTTATTGCATGAATTAAACTGGAACCAAAAAAAAGAATGTAAATAAAAACCAGATCTACATCAATCCCAGGCCAAACAACTAGGCCAAAAATATGCAAAAAAAAGAGCAGCACTTTAACTGACAAAAGATATACAAAACAATATACACCAAACACGACAAAACAAAACAAAACACCCAATTTTGGACTACGTCAAGGCTGTAAGGAACAAATTCACAAAAGCACGATGGACGTTTTCCTGACTTGGATGCCTCTGATGGTCTAGGGTTGTCTTCCTCACCTAATCCACTCTACCAAAGTGAAACGAACATCGCGCCGGAAACCGACTTTCACACACCTCACACACTACACGTAAGCAAATAGTCTTTAATTCACAGATAACAAACAACGTGCCACGAAAAATACAACAGAATTATACAAAAAGACACTTAATATAAACAGTGACAACAATCTAAACAAAATATACACAAACTAGCATTAGACAGGGACATAAACAGTTACACAGCGGCGCCATGATACGGGACTACACAACTAAAAAGTATAAACAGTTTACGACATGAAACGAAACGATACATTCGCCTTCCTAAGTTACAAATAATAATAATTACACACTCCAGCCGCTCACAGACATAGACATAGATATGGATATAGATATAGATATAGATATATTCTTCTGCTTACTTTCCCAAAATATACTCAACAAAATGTAACATTGTTTTGAAAGTTTACGAAAAATAATAAATGATTTTAAAAAGAGAGAGTTTGGTTAAATACGTGAGATTACTTGTATTCAGTGTTTCTTCCAGACTTTTTTCTCCGGGGGGGGGGGGGGAGCACTTAAATTTTCGGGGGGGGGGGAGGGCGGTAGACTTTTTTCGGGGGAGGGGGGCGGACAATGTTAAAAGTATATATTTTCTATATAAATTTCATTTCGTTCGGAGGGGGGGGGGGGGCGGTATACTTTTTTCGGAGAGATGCCTGGAAGAAACTCTGGTTGTATTTTGTGATCATATGAATTTTGTTTTTATCCCAACTGGTTGAATTGGCATATGATTTCATAGCGCAAGTAGTTTATCAAGATTACTCGTCATAGAGACGGACCACCCCATGCTCAAAAATGTACACAGGATCTGTGCTGTTCCTCATGTAGAACGCCATCCGACTAAAACCACTTCTGCAGAGAACCAAGACGTCACACAGACTCAGCAGATATTGGTCGACCAAAGCGTCCTCTAAAGCACCACACTGGTCACTACCAAGTGTGGGTCTGTCAGTGTGGTCAATTATCGCGCCAAAATCAACCATCCTTCCCTTGAAATAGTTGTACGCCTGTATTCGTACATTAATGTAATCCGTTGCTATGAAAAACAAAGCGTCTCCGGAAGTGTCTTTAGATGACATAAATTCAAATAATACGGGAATATCCGCTAACTTTACTGATGTGAACACATCGTCTTTAGGAACGTTTGGGTTTTTCCCGATTCTGACATGCGCACAGATCAAAGGTGACTTCCTAACATCGCACATCGGCGCTTTAGGCCGTTCATGTTTTAAAACATCAACGTCCACACCTTTTCGTATTAGAAAGTCCCTACCAATAATATTTTCAACTTTAGACAGAAACGATGCAGACGGTTTCATTAACTGATTCCAGCTCCAAAAGAATCGATCCTGTATGTCCCGAATTCCGGTCCATGTGTCGATCTGCTTGATGTAGTGTGGGTTGGCTACAAAAAGTGCGTACAAATCCGCGTACCCCCTGAAGTATACAACAGTCTGTGGGTAAAGAACGTTTAGGTCTTTGAATCTGTAGTGAGAAGTGTCGAGCGTGTTGTTTTGTGTGGGCGGGTCTAAAGTTTCATTGTCCGGCTCCCACTGAACTTTGTTTGGCTGGTAAAACTTTGACAGACTGCACGGTTGGGGCATGACAATTTTAAAACAGCGGTGTAGCAGACGAGAGAGAACATAAGCAAAGACCAAGCCTTCTTGTCTGTCTCCCCAGCCTCCACACCGACCATGTCCTGTACATAGAAACGCAAGATATCGCACAGTCTTATTCCCCTCACACTTTTCTAGTGATGGGGTGACTGGTGAGGTCAAAATTTTACGAACCCTTTTTTTGATGATTGCTGGCGATCTGTCGTATGTTGACATTTTAATTGTGAAATTAAAATCGATTGTTGGAATTGGTTTAAAAATATATCCATTTGTTGCTGTCACACAAGGAAAGTGTGTCGCATTATCTAGATTAATTGTTTCAGTTACACCTGCAAAAGTGATGCTGTTTTTTAATAATCCAACTGCTGTGGGTTTTTGAAGAGTTTGATCCTGGAGTTTGGTATAATGGGTGAAGAACTGGCCACCTCCAAAGTAGTACACGTAAGTTATAATAAGACCCAGAACTGCACATACTAGGACAGTGTAAATTATCCCAAACTTTCTGAAGTGCTGTAAATAAATTTTAAAAACATGCACAGTAAATTTAAATAGTACTCCACATATATTTACTATTACATGCTATTTAAATTTTAAATGTTAAAATCAATAAAATATTTTCTTTACTACTTTTTTATATTGCCATATTATGGTTCAAATATTTCTATTTGTTTAGTCGTTTTTTACTTTCTCGTATATACGAAGTATAGAGAAAGCCTTGTAATCGTGAAAAATAAAAATCGATATTTTTACAAATCTCGACGTTTAACACCTCACTGATACAGAAAAACATAATTTTGCAATCTTGTCCGTATGTCTGTGTGTCTGTCTGTGTGTGTGTGTGTGTCTGTCTGTCTGTGTGTAAACACGATAACTTGAGTACCGCTACAGCTAGGTTGATGAAATTTCATATATAAGTATTTTATCAAAATCGTAGATCCGTATCAACTTTTGAGCGATTTCCGATAACCGGAAGAGGTACTTTTTCTACTTTGAATTTCTCAAAAGCCTATAACTTGAGTTCTATTTAGGATAGATAAATGAAACTTCACATGTAAGTAAAATATCTAATTCTCTACCTTCTGTAAAATTTTGAATAATATCCGTTGAACGGAAGTACTAATTTACGCTATTTCCTATTTCTAAAAAAAACGCATGTAAATTTATAAAGTATTAATAATATTGCGCACTTTTATACACATTTTATTAGGCGTTCGCTTGGTGTGCAATTCTTTTTTCTGTGAGATTCTATTCTATTTTTAAAAGTTTAAATAATTAAAAATCATGTCTATATTCCAAGTTATATAAGAATATTCGAGAAAGTTTTGGGGAGATCACTCCCGGTTTATTTTTTCCTTCAACAACGTGGATTTTATTAGGACCACAATTATGCTCAGGTGATTGTTTTTTTAGGCCACTTAAATAGAGGCGTAGCGATCCATTTTTGCGCCCGGGATAAAATATCAATTTGTATACAATAATTTATCAATGTTGCGCCCCACCCCTCTTCAATTAGAAAACTTTGGGTGCGCAATTTACCAGGCACTATCGTTTAACAGTTTTTTATTTTGATGTCGTACAACTGATATAGAGAACAGTTAAATCCGTCTATAAAGCCAATATGTTTTCACATTTAAGGCTATTAATTCAGTAATGTAGCTCAGAATGAGATTTCAATTTTTTTTTCTCTACCCTCTTTGACGTCCTTATAGAGGTGGCCGCCCCACGCAACCTCCCCTACGCCTCTGCACTTAAACATGACAGAATTATTCCAACATAGGGGGTCGGCGTGTTCGAGTCGGTAAATATCATGTTTGCTCAACCGAATAGTCTCGAGTTCGAACCCTCGGGCAGATGAGGCTCGTTAGTTGGGTACAACGTCTCTTCTAGGAGAGACAGCTCCAAAATTAAACAACTGCTGCCTTGTAGTTTGTTTGTTCTTGGTTGGACAAAGACTATGGAAGCAAATCCAAAAAGAAAAGCAGGCTGAAATCAATGGCCTAAATGGCGTATAACAAGATGACACGTATACTTAACTGTGATAGAGGGAATCTCCTCCATTACTAAAATTAAGAACGAAGAAGAAGAAGAGTTCAAACAAGTTTAAAGTCAATATAATGTAATGAATATTGTATAATATCAGCAACAGATCATTGATACAGTCTACCACTTACCATTCTTATAAAGATTGTTGAAATACGATAAAGTGCTAAATGTTAACAATCTTCTGATGTGTTTGATTCAGTACAGTACGTGTCCCATTCGATATTGACATTAATATTGCTACTTGAGATTAGCGATTCCAACGTATTCGAATATTCAACAATCTGGTTTCACGATGATAATGTTTTAAGAATTTTTACCCTAAAACTTTATTCCAGGTACAGCCGTAAATGCAGCCCTAATCACACATATAACAAAGTAAAAATGAGCTTGAAACATACACTGTGGTTAACTGTAGTACCAGTGAGTGTGAGCATCGAAAGAATAATGTTGTGGCGTATAGGGCGGCAACACAATGCTAGGTAAAAAGCACTGTTGTTGATACACGGTACATCTAAATTATATCCTAAAATCAATTCATTTTTATGGCTTGTGTCGTATTTTGTTTGGTTAGCAAACCAGTTATATACCAACAATATGATGTTCAATCGATAAATCTAATAGCTTAGCTGATCGTTTATTTAATACAAAGGCAAAATACGAAAAGAGATTGGGCTATAAAAATGCTTTGTTCTTCTTTTGAACGGTAAAGCCATCTATAATAATAGTTTCGCTGTCTATGTGCGCATCCAACCATCCGTCCATCCGTCCATCCGCCCATCCGTCTTTCCGTCCATTCGTCCATCCGTCCATCCGTCCGTCCGTCCATCGGTCAATCCGTCCATCCGTCCATCCGTCCATCCGCCCGTAAGTCCGTCCATCCGTCCGTCCGTCCATCCATCCATCCATCCTTCCATCCGTCTATCCGTCTATCCATCCATCCGTCCGTCCGTCCATTCGTCCATCCATCCATCCATCCATCCATCCATCCATCCATCCAACCATCCATCCATCCATCCATCCATCCATCCATCCATCCATCCATCCATCCATCCATCCATCCATCCATCCATCCATCCATCCATCCATCCATCCATCCATCCATCCATCCATCCATCCATCCATCCATCCATCCATCCATCCATCCATCCATCCATCCATCCATCCATCCATCCATCCATCCATCCATCCATCCATCCATCCATCCATCCATCCATCCATCCATCCATCCATCCATCCATCCATCCATCCATCCATCCATCCATCCATCCATCCATCCATCCATCCATCCATCCATCCATCCATCCATCCATCCATCCATCCATCCATCCATCCATCCATCCATCCATCCATCCATCCATCCATCCATCCATCCATCCATCCATCCATCCATCCATCCATCCATCCATCCATCCATCCATCCATCCATCCATCCATCCATCCATCCATCCATCCATCCATCCATCCATCCATCCATCCATCCATCCATCCATCCATCCATCCATCCATCCATCTATCCGTCCATCCGTCCATCCATCCATCCATCCGTCCATCCATCCATTGTCCGTACATCCCGAGTCCTCTTTGTCCTACAATCAAACACAAGGGCTATACTGTGAGCACTATTTTTTTTTGTTTTTGATTGGTTGGGGTTAGGGTTAATTTAAAAAGTAAAATATTTCCTAAACCCGGGCAAAGCAGGGTAGATCTATATGCTGCTTAATAAACACAGAAGTCATGGTCCTTTACATATCGGCTTTTCACAGAGGCCAGTGCATATATATATATATATATATATATATATATATATATATATATATATATATATATATATATATATATATATATATATACTAGCCGTCCCGACCAGGCCCTGCTCTGGCTTCTGTGAAAAACCTTTCAGTTAAAGACCATTACCTGTGTGTTTAGTAATCATCATAAACCCGGCATTGCCCACCCAAACCACAACCAACCAAAACAACAAAACGGAAACATAACGCTAACACAATTATAAATACAAACGAAAACAAAAACCTAACAACAAACCCAACCACAATCACAAACACCAACACAAACCCAAAGAAAAAAACACAAACGAAAAAGCAAACGAAAACAAACCAAATCCAAACGCAAAACCAACCACAAACACAAATACAAACACAAACCCAAAGAAAAAAACACAAACGAAAACGAAAAAAGCTTAATAATCGACTATAGTACCCCAACTTATTCATAGTCTTTTTGCACTCACTTAAACGAACGTAGGTGCCAAACCAAGCCAAATGAACAATTATAATACTCCAAGCTTATTCGTAAAATAACTACAACATTTGCACTTGATCAATCCCCGCTAATCATGTAATTATGTTTTCCCCAACACCAAAACAAAGTAATAAAAAGTAAATTCTTTTCCACTAATGCAATGTTTTATAAAGGGAAGTAATAGTGTTTTCCTAATTTATCAAAGGGAAGTAAGTGCTAAAGGACTAAATATAAATAATTTTCAGACATAATTAGAATTTTTGTTATTTTTTTTTAAATTATGTTTAATGAACATGCCGACAATTATTACTATCAGTTTGAAAAATGAAAATTATTTCCCAACACTTTCAATAGTAATTTTTTAACTCATAAATTTAGACAAATGCGCACGATAATAGTCTAACACTTTAATCCATCGAAGTATGTCAACGAAAAACATATGTATTTTTACATACAGAATTGAGCTTTATATATTAGACTAGCCGTCCCGGCCAGGCCCTGCTCTGGCTTCTGTGAAAAACCTTTCTGTTAAAGACCATTACCTGTGTGTTTAGTAATCATCATAACCCTGGCATTGCCCACCCAAACCACAACCAACCAAAACAACAAAACGCAAACATAACGCTAACACAATTACAAATACAAACGAAAACAAAAACCTAACAACAAACCCAACCACAAACACAAACACCAATACAAACACAAAGAAAAAACAAACAAAAAAGCAAACGAAAACAAAAACCTAACAACAAACCCAACCACAAACACCAATACCAACAACAACAAAAAAACGAAAAAGCAAACGAAAACAAACCAAATCCAAACGCAAAACCAACCAAAAACACAAATACAAACCCAAACAAAAAAACACAAACAAAAACGAAAAAAGAAAGAACAAAAACCAAATCAAAACG